AATGACATGAAATGATTCATAATTGCAATTGTCAAAATTTATTCTACAAAATCTTTGTGGCGACATCTATAGACTCTTTTCCCAACTTGTATATCCATCTCAAGTCACGTGGTTCCCAGTGTCCCCATATTTTCAAGTATAAGTTCTCGGGCCCTGATTATAATACAATACTTTAAAACTGATGATTTACCACTAATCCCTTGTGTCCTTGAAAAACCACTTAATTTGAGTGTTTGATATATTTGATGTGTCGTGTAAAAGCAATCATATGAGTCACTCGATAATCTCGGCCCCTTGTTTTCATTTTCATTCATAAAAGAAGTCGGTGGAATCAATAGACGACTCGTTTTGGTTTGCTTGCTCATTAGTGGTGAAATAAATTTCAAAACATTGTACGATGGCAGATCCACGCATCAGAACTATCAAAATAAAAACAGGTGTTGTCAAGAGGTTAGCAAAGGAGAAGACCGTGTACGAACGTGAGGCAGAACAACAAAAAATCCGCGTAGAGAAATTCAAGAAGGACGGTAAAGACGAGTACGAAATTCGCAAACAAGAGGAAGTGTTAAACGAGAGTTACATGATGGTACCAGATTGCCAGAGAAAACTTCTCGCTGCTTTCGAGGAGTTGAGGAATATTCTGGAGGTGGAACAAGATTTGAAGGAAACGGAAGACTATCTGGCAGCCCATAGGGCCTTAGAGGAAGCTAAAGCACAGTTACCGATAGCTGAATTGTGTTAAATGTTATTTACCCACATTTTTCAATTTATGCATTTGTTTAATATTAATGTGATAGTAAAAGATTTTTGAAGTATCTCGAATTTTATTGGTTTATGAAAGTAAGTCACAATAGCCAATCATATTACATTTTTAATTTATGGCCAATTATATTAAGTTTCTTATTTATGGCCAATCATTAGCCTTCTTCGTTTGACAAACGACAACGGTGAACATCAATGAGTCTGTTCTGTTCTATGACTATGTTCTGTGTTACTAAATTATTTTTGTGAGGGACATTTTGTTGGTCTGGTTTATTTTAAAAAAATGCCAAAGATCTGAAAAGTGTAAAGACATTTTGGCCCATGTTTTTTAAAGGTTTAACACCACAAAATCTCCTTTTCTAGTAGAAATCCGTGCAATGGCAGATCCACGCTTCAGAACGATTAAAATAAAAACAGGTGTAGTGAGAAGGTTAGCCAAGGAAAAGACCGTATACGAACGCGAGGCAGAACAACAGAAAATCCGTATTGAGAAGTTGAAGAAAGACGGGCGAGACGAATACGAGATTCGCAAGCAAGAGGAAGTGCTAACCGAAAGTTTGATGATGGTTCCAGATTGCCAAAGAAGACTTTTGACAGCTTACGACGATTTAAAGGGCATACTTGATACTGAACAAGACTTAAAAGATACCGAGGACTACTTAGCTGCTAAGAAAGTGTTGGAAGAAGCTAAACAGCAGTTGCCGAAAGCTGGTGAAGTGCATATGTGTTAAGTGCTTTCGAATCGTATTAACAAACAATTAACTATTTAAACTTATAAATTTAGTTATAATCCTTTTTTTAATCATGAATTTTCTCAAATACAAGAACTTTTCTGTACGCTCGCCTAACACTGAAGTGCCTCTCGGTACTGACCCAAGGACTAACGTTTTCGAGACATTGTACAGTCAAAGTAACGACGAACTGTGGATCGACTCGTGGCTGCAGCAAAACTGCGTTTACAGACCAATCCCGAAAGTAAAAATTAACAAAGGTAACAACCTATCTATTAACGACGCCCAGAAGTCACTGAAGGAGTGCCTCGGGCTGCTCGATAAACTCGCAGAAACCCAACAAAATTTACAGGACAACGTGGCTAGCATGTCCACGACGGAATGGAAGCAAAAAACTGTCGAGATCGGTGTGATAAAAGACCAGTTCACGAGACTGATGTCTAAATTCGAGAACAACGAAGCGATTTTCGCTTTGAAACGGGCCGTGGATAAAAGGAAGAAAAAACGTCTGAGAGAGAAGAAAAAAAAGGGGTTCTGGAAGCAAAAACTTAGCGAGAAGTACGAGAACAGGAGCAAACTGCACAAGAGCATTGACGAGTGGTTGAGGGGTATGAAGGAAGAGGTGGAAAAAGCCAAAATGGTAAGTAACGTTTATTTTTTTAAAGCGTATTCGTGAAATTTGTAGTTTTACGCAGGAAGAGGACATGCAGAAAGACGCGGATTGTGTCTTGGCCGAGGTCACGAAGAAAAAGTCTGACGCTCGGAAACAGTTGTCTCTCGTTTCTAGCTTGACCAAGTTGAGGTCCGTTCGGGACCAGATAGCTGGCCAGAGGGGCGAGCGGGTGTCCTTGGAGGATCGACAGGCGTTTAATGTTATAACAGGTAATTTACGAGTTTTACAGACAAATGTATCGAACAAAAAAATTTTAACCGAATATATGTTCGCAGAAAAGTTGATACGAATGTGGGAATCCTCGATGAAAACGTACACGATCGAGGAGCACGGCCTGCGACTGATGATCGAGAAGACCGCCAGCGAGGATTCCAAGACGGCCCGCTTGGCCAAGGAGCGCAAGCTCCTCGGAGAGTGGTACCGGATTTTTTTCGGGCTCAGGCAGGTCATCCCGCAGGAGAATCAAAGTTATTGGGCTCTTACCGCTGCCGAGAGGGACACGGAAACTTTTATAGCTATTCGGTGAGCGGCAGAGTAATCTCCGTCTTTTCTGTACCGGACGAGTAATATTTTTTTGTTTCGTTGTAGGAAAAGCTGGGACACGTTTTTGGTTTCGCCCTCGAACGAGATGGGTTCTAAAATACCGTTCGGCTGGGCCCTTCCCGATGCCGCCGCTTCTGAAAATTGGACCAAATATTTAACGCTTGATTGATTGTTAACTTTTTATGCCTCTTTTTTTTTAAAATGAAACAATAAATACGTTCTTTGCAATAACCAAGTGTTTTATTGTGAAATAAAGAGATTGATAGTGAATTTGCAGTTTTTTTTGAGTTTTGAGGTGCTACAATTTTTTTTTATAGTTTGTGCAATGTGGTATGCAGTACTAGTTTAAATACATTGATTTAGAAAGTCACTACGCAGTACGAAATGGTATTAAAAGTGTATTTGTATTTCTTTTATAGAATTATTTTGCAACCTAAAATACAATACACTGTTAATCTGGTTGCGTAACTGTCAGGGGTCGTAAGTCCAAAACAAAGGACTGACTTTATACCTATTGACTCTTGATCCACGCCATCAGAACTATCACAGCAAAATTTCAAAGATGTTAGCCCAGAGCCACTTTCCTCTATCTTGCAGCCTAAAATATAATGTATGGTGAATCTGTTTGCATATTTCTTCAAATTAATTGTTTGCAAGCATTTTAAGTTTCCCCGATTTCAAAAAGTTCGCGGTATAAAAGCGTCAGGGGATGCGCCCTCTACCGGCAAGCCTGGCAACTCGCAACATTCAAACAAATGAAACGCGAAATTATTCAACAAAGTGCACGGCTATTCGGTGAAAATTAAAAACTTTTGATATTTTTTTGTGGTTTTGTGCGTGTGCGAAGCAAAATTGTGTTTAAAACGGATATTGGAGCTGTTTCAGGTGTGATAAAAGAATGCAGTTAACACCATATCTTCAAAATGTAATTCCAACAATTTTTTCTAGCTCGAAAACCAAGCTTGCTAAACTGTAGCAAGAAAATAAACAAGGATGTCATGTACGGCGTGTTGGAGTCATATGGAGCAAAGTGTAATAAGAATTTATTAAAAATGTTTCCTTTCGAACCAAACATAGCGTTTTATTCCTGGTAACTTATGAAATAATAGTTTGTCCATTGTTTGCGCTCTCTCTGTTTAATTCTACAAAGTCTCTCATTATGACATAAGCTGAATCATTACAAGTTAAATATGGAAGACTATAATCGATTATGCTTTTGTTTTGCATAATTCTGTTATTTCAGCTCACTCTGTTCGAAAATTCAAACTATGGAACCATTTTTTGTACAATCTGAATAGGTTTTAGTTCGTTTGAAGTGTTTTGAGGTTTGATTTGTACATTATTTTGCAACGTATAACAATATAGTGTTAATTTCGTTGCATGCATAGTCGTCATAGAATTTTTTTGCAACATAAAATACAGTGCGTTGTTCCTCTGGTTGTCTGAACTCCACAAATACGCCCTGTTTCTTTTAAGGCCTTGTTTAGTTGAAATCTTTAGCGGTGAAAGAAAAAACTCAATTTCCAGTCGAACATACTTTAATTCTGAGAACTGTGATCATTTACAAATATCGTAATACACCAAAAAAGCATACAGCTCAAAAAAGGTACACATATACTCAATATATGTTACGAAGCGTGGAGAACGTTTCGGACGGAACATGTCCGTCTCAAAGGAACGAGTTACATATTTCTTTTAAAGTATTTTTTTTAATATGAAAACAGATATTCAGCAATATCTTGAATCATTTTTTTTATTTTTTTAACTTTATTTTCAGAATTAACACACATTTTGAAAAAATTCACAATTTAACCAGAATTACTCGCCTCGCTCAGAAGAAATAGTGAAAATTGGGATATTTTAAATATAACGTAATTTTTTAAGCAAGTATTAAATGGGGAATATTAATTAAAGTGAAAAACTGAAAAAAAAAACAGTTATCCTTCTAAAAATGTGAGAAAAGAAATGAAAAATCAAAACAAAAATTTTTTTATTTTTAAAAAATTCATGCAAATGAAAATGTGCATTAAAAAAACATTTTTTATAAATCCACCATATTTTTACTAATAATTCTGCCGTTCTAAGTATATAAAAAGTAAACTTTGTAAAGAGCCCGTCCCCCGCCCCACATACAGCATTTAACTAAAAAAAAAGTTCCTCCTCAACAAAACCGCCAACGATTACCTGGAATGCAATTTCCGCGACATGGCGACACCCGAACAAATAATTAATTCGAGCTGGAGGCCCCGCCGGCCTCCGACCCCTCCTGCGACTTTTTCTCTATAGTCTCCAGCATGTAATACCAGTACTTGGCCCGGACGGTGTCGAACTTCGCCGCCAGATCGTCGCACAGCCCCCTGGCCCTCTCCAAGGTGTAAACCGAGTCTCCCCCGCCCTCGTTCACCTGTTCGTAGCACATGTCCACCAGGACGGCCAGGAGGAAGGGGGAACGGTTGCCGGACTTGTACAGCTCCTCGCAGAACTCCGTCACCTTCTCGTTCTTGCTCAGGCCCCCTTTGTCGTGAAGGAGGAGCCTAGGGAAGAGGAAAATTGCAGCGAAATCGTCGAAAAAGTTAAAAGTTTCACGTACCCCCTCAAGTAGTTCCAGGCGCTCTCGTTTTCCGTAACCGCTTTGATGTTGAATAGGGTGTAGTCTATCTCGCGGTCGAGCACCTCGTCCGTGAAGCCCGTCGTGTTATTTACGACGAAATATCTTTGGTTCCACGCTGAATTGTTCCTAACGTCGTCCGCTAGTAGCGTGTCTATATATTCCAATTCCCCGTCGTAAAGGCTAAAAGTTGCGGTCGTTTTTCATTTCTGTCGGCACGTACAGCCGCGGACGATAAAAATTCGCCAACCCACAGTACCGGAACACTGAAATTTTCGCTATTTGAACCTGTTAAAGCTGTTTTTACCTTTCTTTAAAAAATGACTCGTAAAAAATAACTCGGAAACTTTTTATTGTCCGCAGCTTTACTTTTTTTTTTTAAAGTACCTACTAAACGACTTACTTGAACGTTTTTATGACCCACTGCCGGTGTTGCCAGGCGTGGTAGTTCTTGGCGTCCTTTGCCAGAACCGACTCGGTCAAAAATTTCTCCTTCGACGGATCCTGCAGCCACTCGATGAGTACCTTGCGGTGGTGCCACACCTGGTAATTCTTCGACTGTTTCAGTATCACCTTCTGGATCAAGTCGAGTTCCTCGTGCAGGTCCTTGTTGAGTCCTTTGAGGATCTCGCGCCTGAAAAGCCCAGTTTTTGAGGTTAGGTAATAGAAGTTTGGTGTTTTCCGTACCTATATTGCCATACCGTGTAGTTGGCCGGGTTGAAGAACGACGCTGTTTTGGTTATCTCCAAAGCCCTCTCGGATATTTCCTTGTTCTTCAGAACGGCCCGGAAGTAGTCAAAGCAGTCTTCATCTGTCGAACAAAATATTTGGGAAAAAGTGGAACATATTTAGTATTTTTTTAAACACGTTTCAAACAGTTGCCTGTAGGAAGCATACACTGCCGAGCTGATTTAACACAAGTCACTAGAAACGAACTAATAAATATCACTGATCTAATCAGGATGATTCGTCATGGAAATTCTGATATTGATTTATTCAGCTAGTTTATTAAAATGTACCAGTATTCTTTCAATACCTTTTAAATTTATCAAAGACTTCATATTTAGTGAAACAGCAGAGCTAGAAGGGGGTTTGTTTAAATTTTATTACCAATTCGAAATAAAATTACAAAAGTTAGGTTAACTTACAAGCTTCTGTGTAGGCAATAGATACTACAGGATCTTCACCATCGTCTTGGGGTACAGGAGTAACATCTCGCCATTCCTTTCTGTTTCTGTATAAAACAATTTCGCTTTCATTTTCATCACTGCTGTAATCACTCATTTTTTAGAAATAAACAATCCACCACCACCCTCCTTTGTCGTCTATCAGTCCTATCACGAACTGTCATATTGTGTCAGTGCTGCCACTTTTTCAAATGTTCCTGTTTTCAAAATCGGATCTTCCTGTAAATTTGGTTCACTGGTTCTCAGCATTTACACTGATATTTGGTCATTGTTTTTAAATGGTAAACTTGTATATCTTGCAAAACGCTACTTTCATAGCTTTAAATATTTTAGTTGTAGAATACATATTATTCTGGAGTGTCCCTAACGGGGGGAGGAATTTTTGTATTAGTGATGCGTTATTCGTACCATTGAACATATCAATCCTTCGAATCACACACACCCTGAACTCGAACTTCGTTCCTAATGTAGTTCATCTCTTTTTCGGTAGAGGGACACTACCAACTTAAGATCCCAGGAGACAAAACTTTATCGCAGTTTACAAATTCCGATAATTCTTTTAACGAAGAACATAGATTTTATTCAGAGTAGTGTATTTTCTGTACAGTCTCATTTCTTTCCTGAAGTAACTTATATACTGATTTCAGTGCGTTTTAACTGTCGTCATGATGGAACTGGGCAAGGAAAATAAAATACAGCGTTTATTTGTCATATTATGAGCTATATATTTCGATATTTTACTTCATCACTGAATACATCAGCATAGAATAACTTACAGTATACATTTATATGTAAAATTATAAATTGTCTAAAAAATTATATGGTATTTGTTATAGTTATGCTCAGGCGCTTGCGGCGCAGATAACCGTGCGTAAAGTAGCGCGTATTTCGGCGCGGCAAAGCTACCTGCCGACATTTAGGACGCAAGGACAAGCAGTTAAATAAACACTCACACAACTTTAGCTCTAATTGTTAAACTCACAGTCGCATTCGCGCTAGATCGTCCTTGGATCCTGAAATGTCCGGCGCCAAACCTAAATCTAACACGCATCTCTCGACGAGTTGGTGTGTACTCAATTTATAGAGGTCGCGGCATTGAAATCGATTCGATATTTTGTACTGGGGATGATTTGAATTGACGAGACAAATTCGCGCTGATGGAAATTTTAACTCACGAGAAACGTAACAGAGCGCGCGCTGGGCACGAATTGATTTTGGCAACAGTCACAGTAGAATGTTGTAATCGTGGTATAGTGGCGTTGAGTAAGTGACGACATCTGTAAATCGATCCTAATTATAAACCTTACGGTTGCATCGAGTTATATTGAATAAACAACCTGAACCAAAAAAAAGCTGAATTTGCGTTACGCTTAATAAAGTGGTTGAGGCGGAGTAGTATCAGACGTTATCTTAAGCCTATTTGCTTCAATATCTTAACGAGTATTCAAAGTTACGATCATACATTATTAAGGATAATACAGTACGGTATGCAGTTTAAGTACGATTATAGAAGGAAGAAGAATACTGGGCTCTAATAACCGTTGTGTATACCCAGCAATCCGAAACTGGAACTGGCATTTTTTTTATGACAATTATTGCACCCGAGGTACATTCACACATGGAAGATACCGGAACGTTTGCTCGTTTCCAAATTCCCTTTCAATTTTGTGCAGTGATTTGTTGATATGCCTGTTTCTGATACGGGTAAACGATTTTCCATTGACGAAAGTTCCTCCGTGAAAACATACATCACCCGCGGTGTTTTCCGACATACGACGTGAAACAATTGCGAACTAGACGGCCTAGAATCGACGGGAATGGGCGTAGCCGCCATCGTAGAGCTTGCAGAGGCTGTCGGTGCGGCCAGAACTCAACTGGGAGGGCAGGCTGACGCTGACGGACATCCCGTCGTGCGATAGTTTGCTGCTGAGCCTCCTCCTCTGCCAGATGAAGGTCCATGCTGCGATTATGGCCAGCTGAGACGACAGGAAGACGGTGGCGGCCACTATGAGGCCGCCCACGTTGATGCAGAGTCCGTCGTTGGGGAGGAACATGGCTTCGCTGCCGATAGACGACGTCTTGTTGGCGTCCCTTTCGAAGCCGAATTTGTCGGTGATTTGGATGGACTGGACGAGGAGCATGTCGTCGTGGCCTGCGGTGGAACGGCGCCTCCTCCTCTTACCGTAGGAGATGACGGAGCGCAGTTCTCCGGTAGGTTCTTCCTGGTCGCACTGGACTGGCTCACACGTGGGCATGCAGGGGGTCACCAGGGCTCGGAACTGGACCACTTCCGACGAGGGGAACTTAAAGGCGTCGAAGTGGGAGAGCAGCACCTGGAATGGAAGTTGATACAATGATACAGGCTTTCAGTGAGTTTTGACCATACAATTGGAGGATGCTGGAGGATTAAGTTTAGCATTTTTTTAAAACCACATACCTTTCCAGAATCAGCGGATTTGTAGATGGGGCCCATGATGAAATGGTCAGTGGGACAACCGTCTGAATCGATGAGAACGATTTCGCTGGAGTCCACACCATCCATGGCAACTAGTTCCCTTACGAATATCTCGTAGGGACTGTTTTTATCCATGATTTCGAACTTAAGGGCCAGCGGGTCTCCAACCTCAGCAGTCTGCATGATGTCTTCCCCATTTCTGTCCGTTATCTTCATAGCGACGTTAGGCGAATCCACAGTAACTTCTTCTGAGATAGCTGAAGAGGAATAGACGCTTTAATAACATAATCGGTTTGTAATGGTCGATCTTACCTGGTTGGATGTCGCCGTGAACCCCCAAATCCACCTCGTTGGTGACGCTCTTGTTGGTCAGATCATACTGGCAGGTGATGGCAAGACCCAGGTCGCTGCTGGTGACGATTTTGTCGTGGTGTTGGATGACTACGTCGTTGATGTACCTTCCCAAACCGTTTTTCCTCACGTTGCATTCTAGATCGTCGTAGGCCATGCTCAGCTCGAATTCCAGGCTGCTGTTGACGTCGCGCACGCAAGAGTTGGGGCTGCCCTTGGCGTAGATCTTCCCGTCGAAGAGTCTGGAGGTCTGGATGCGAGCTACCATGTCTCCTGAGCGACAGTCGATGCTGACGTTGTAGCACGAGCTCAGTTCGTAGGTGGCTGCTTCGGGAACTTCCAGATAGGGGTCCTGGATTGTTATAGGATTGTTGAAGTTGTTTATATCAGTGTACACAGTGGTCTGGGTTACAATCAGGCGATACAATAAAGCAAACAGTTTTATATGTACGTGTATATATGTAGAACTTGGCGTATACTAACTTGGATGTCAGCAAGGGTAGCCCTGGAGTGATGGCTGAGCCTGCAGACCATCTCGCCGGTGTCCCCATAGTCGTACGAGTGACAGCGGTAGGGGGAGTTGAGGCACAGCTCCTTGCATTCGTCCAGGGAGCCGACGTCTTGGTACACCGAGTCGACCGTCTTCAGGATCCTGCCGTTCAGTTTTTTGAATTCGCACAGCTTGGTGGGCTCCTCGATGCAGTTGTTCTCGATGTAGTCGAAGCCGCTGGCCGGCTGGAAGGCGTTGCTGCCAGCCAGAGTGATGCGGTCCATGCTGGACAGCTCGCAGTTGCCCGTCTCATTGTTGTAGTTGGCAGACCTGCAATCGCATAAAATAACAATTATTTTTATGTTCGCGGCGAACGATGCGATCTCTCAACGTCGCTCGGTAATCTATTTGATCTAGCAGGCCGCGCCTATCATATGGTGGGGCAGCGGCGGCGCGCCGTTTTTTAAAGGGGCCAAGTTAATATTACTTTTTCGAATCTCGTTTCTTTTTTTTTATATAATAATAATAAATCATGGCATATATTGGCAGGAGAATTTTCTGTCTGTTCAAAGACTTGACCATATTTTACTTATTTCATGATCTTAAAGAAACCCCGAAGCAAACAATATCCACTTCAGCTGGATGCCAGTGAGCAAGTTGCTGATTGGAGATACATTTAATTATAACTATCCATTACTATTTATCGCCATTATCGCTATTATCGGCCGACTGCTATATCTCGAAGCCTTCTGCTGTGTCTCGCAACCTGTAATAATAAATCTCTCTCCGGAGTCGTCGCGTCTTAGAAAATAAACAAGTTGCGCGGCAGGTCCAGCCATTGTTTTAATGCAGCCAGTTCTGGTAATAAATAAATAAAACTACCGGCCGTTTTTTCCAGGTTAACATCAGATAATGCAACAATAAAACGTAGCAATGAAAATAATAAACACACCTTTCCATCAGCGGCGATCTCGATCGGACGTAATACATAGTTAATACGTCTATCTAAGTGCCTCATTGTTAGTAATCAAACGACGAATTGGCAAAAAGGCGAACCACGGTCTATTTAACAGAGAGATGTAGTGCTGGCCGACGTAAGAAGAGCACATTCTTGCTCGGTACAGCGGCGTACCGATAAAATAAGTGAAATATATTTTAAATCTGGCGCGAGAATATCGAGGTGTGACGTCATTACGTGCCATACCTTCAATTAATTCGTCTTAACGGGTAAACTAGATTTCGGCGTGTGCAATCGGGAGTTTCAACGTTGTATTCGCTGTATCGCTGCGACGTATTGGCGTGCGGGAAACATCTGGGTGGCTGGGTTGTTTGAGATGCAAAGCGGTGCCGGCGTGTCACAATTACCCGACGATGACGAGCCCCACAGAGGCGGCATCCAACTGCTAGTCACGTCGTCGATAATCTAATAACATCGAACACCGTTTGCTTATGGCAATGACTCGCTAATGTCGGGATCCCGGATTGAGTCGGATAGATCGGGATCTGGTAAATGACACGGAATTCTAGTTGTAGTAGTCGTTTTCTTAAACTAGTTAGGTGCCGCGAGTGTTTGGTATTGTTTCGATGAAAATTAAAGCCGTGTTTGAAAAAGTTACGTTAGTTAGAGAGTCTGAAGCGTTGTACGGTTCGCATGATAATTTATTCACAATTACCTCGCACATCGTAATAATCGTTCTTTTCTCAGCCTGCAAAGAATACGAGATAATGACTTTTTCATAAGGTATCTTACGGTAACAGGCGATAGGAATCTTGCTGATTACAGTGGCACGCGTCGTCTCGGACGCAATTATAACTATTGTGGGAACGGCTGCGCTATACGCAGTACGGTAGTCTGCCGTGATGAGGAATGTAATTGAACCTTGGGGCGACACCGGATTATTAACGAAAAGGGCGAGAATTGGCCGCATGCGTCGTTAATAGCACACTGAGAGCTTCGCGGGTGATTATCTCTGAAAAAATCGACGCTTTCTCAAATTTGCGCCGAGATATTTGACTACGCGAGTAATATGTTGGTTTTAATTAGATTAAAAAGTTAAAAGTGCAAGAGAATCATTCACTAATCGTTGATTTTGCATCCGCGTGGATTAAGTGGAACAAGGATCTGTTTTGGGGCCCCTTTTGTTCTGATTTATGTAAGCTTTGTCTAAACCGGAAACCTCGTTGATTTTTTTTAATGAAGTCAGCTGGACGCTCCTTTCGCGGGCGCTCTCCTTAAATCAGCCCGACAGCGCCTCCTAGATCGGAATATTGCAACAAATTATTGCTCATTGTTCGGCGCTATCTAGATCTCGTCCATTATATTCCAAATTAAAGCCGGCACAATTAGGGAAGCGACCGCGGCCTACCGCGTTATGTATTCGATGTCCATCCGGGGAAAAAGGTTAGGCGTTGCACTCGTCTCATATCGCACAATCGTCCAATTTAAATGGCGTTTCAATAGCGTATCGGTTGTATATGCACCGAGCGGTTACCAGGAGCCCTCCCGACCGAGCTGACAATATTAAGATTTACACAACAGATTAGCAGCGTGACCGGTGTTTTCATTTCTTCCGGAGGTAGAAGGCTGGTAGGTACTTTGACTCTCGTAGTTTTCGTCAACAGAGGCAGACGATAAAGGCTTATCAGCAGATTTAGTAAGTCACTTTTGTTTCAGTTTAAAGAAACAAGTTATTTTTCTATTAGGAGCGTGCGTTTTCTTATAAAACTGTAACAGTACGACTTTCTGTGTTGCTATCAACGATAAAATTATATATCTCCATTGTATACATTGTGTACAATGGAAGATCGCAGATTCGTTGACTCAAAATAGGCAGATTTAGGCTAATTCACCTATATCTGAAATCCTTGGATTAAGGAGGTGTATCGGGGTCCGAGGGAAGTGAGGAGCGCAGGGAGGGTCCTATGCTTTTCTTATGGGACTAAAGCCCGCTGCCAATTTGAAAAAATTAAATTCTATTGAATTTATTTGCTATAAACATTATCTACATAGCAAAGAAATCGACTCATATGCACATAGCATGCATATTGACTAATTAACAACATAAAAATATATTTAAGTAGTTTTAAATTATATTTAATGAACGCATAAAGTCTATGATGATGTGGCAACAGTGCTAATAATTGGCTAACAGTTGTACACACTGCGAACCTACAGACCTCGGACATCGGAGATATTGCGCGTCAAATTCGGGTAAAGATGCGTACGCGTTCAAAAATGTATTGTGTGTAAACTAAGTACAATATAATTATTACATAAAGCAAATATATCGTATTATTCTCGCGAAGATTTGTATCCTTTATTTAAAATCCGTAAATCATGTAAACTGGTAAAACAACGAGAATTATGTTAATTTAGTTCTAAAGAAATGAAATGACACTCGCGCCCATCGCTCGTCCAAGTCGAAATGTTGGATGCAATTTTGAAGGTTCTGTGATAGAAATTACATTATTACTCACTGTTCGTGTTTTTAATCTCTATTTTAGTAATGTTACAAAAGTTTTGCAACTATAACTAATTTTTTAGATATAAAGTTTGCTGAGAAATATTTATGTTCCTTTGTTATTCGGTACAAATGCTTTTATCTCAAGTATTACTAATTATATTAATCAAGTAAAGAAAACTTATTGCTGGGTAATGATTACGATGTTTTTATAAACCATTAAATATATTAAAAGGATTTATCAACAGTATTTTTTATTCCAATAAATATATCACAGCTTCCTAGTCTTTTTTAATTAATCTAGTTTTTTAAAAACATTACAAAAATCATCTGTTGTGGATAATTTATTGTTGATAACAATGTACATGGGATTTAGGAAAAATTAAATGTTTGAAATCAATTTCGTTTTTATCAAGTCTTTCAAATGTATTCCCTCCTTGCTGTCAGCTGATTGCGACGTTGCCACATTAATCCTCAAGTCAGACAGAAATGCAATTATTGGTTTTTGTTTCTAATTAATACAGCCTGTACTATGTTCAAAACTTACATTAGTTTTACATAAAAACCTACTGTGTACTATCTATGGAAAAGTTTTGTTTCACAATTTCTACATTTTTTTCTCAGTTATGGCCAAAAAAGAGCCCCACCGTCCATCTTAGCCATATAAACCTATGTTAAAATGAACAACTTTCAACAACAATGTCTCAAAATCTAGATTCAAAAAAAATTTCAAAAAAATATGATACACAGAGGGAGCACTGGGTAATACGCTTTATAAATTTCAAGTACATCTGTGCATTTGAGTAAACCCGAAATACCTCCTTAAACTGGAAATTCCAAGAAGAACCGTCTCGACCGCGTTGTCAGCACGTACTCCATTAGAAGCGTTGCGTAAATCGACGCGAAAAAACGTCGAATCAATTATTTGTGTGGCTAAACTAGCCCGCAACGGGTCGGTTTGTGCGATGAGGTATCAGTTTTTTCTCGTCAGACTCAGTCGCAGGAATGGTAGCGGAAGATGAAATCTTCAGCTGTGTTTGTGGGTTTTTGCGGCTTGTTTCACTGTGGATTCGACTGTTTTTTTTTGCTGCTGGAAAGCTGCGGTTTACATACAGGGCGATGATTCGGTTATAAGCGAGACATTCCTTCTAGGTAGCAAGGTAAATCGAGAAGAGCCATCCCCAGCAGAAACATTTAAGAAGTGGGAATAAATGGAATTCCCATTTCGCATCAGGCGCAGGTAAATGGGAAACAAGCGTATAAAGCCTTACAGAAAAGNTCGTGCTAGGTAGCAAGGTAAATCGAGAAGAACCATCGCCAGCAGAAACTTTTAAGAAGTGGGACTAAATGGAATTCCCATTTCGCATCAAGCGCAGGTAAATGGGAAACAAGCGTATAAAGCCTTACAGAAAAGACAGTAATATCAACGTAAAGACACAAATCGGCAGTCAGTGTTTACGCACACACGCACTGTCGATTTGCTCTTAGTTTTTGAGACATCTACGTAGTGTTAATACAACAGCCAACTTTTGATTTCACAATCAGTCAGAATTACATTTTCCCTTTCTGACGATTCGAACGAGCTCTTCTCGAGACTGAAGTGAAGAAAGAATTACCCGGCCCACTGATCAAGCAAAGTCGAAGAAACAATACAATTAGAAACGAATTTAAATTGCCTGTTGAGCAAAGTAACGTCATTAGCGACGTACGAGTGTATGTGTGTGCATTGGATCGTTCTTGCATTTTGTAACCGTCTAATGAGGATCCGCTGGAGGACTGTAGGATTATTTATTACCCTCGGTCGTAAAAACTTCGTCGTTTCAGCTAATTAATTGAATAATTTAATCGATTTGGATTAATGCATGAGGA